AGCGGGAGACAGAGGAGTTTCACCAACTGCACCCCCTCCTCCCCCACCTCCTGTCCACCCCCTCCCCTCCGGGAGCCCTTCCCTCGCTTCCTCCCGCCCCTCTACCCGCACTGGCTCGCCAGTCAGTGTCTGACAGGAGACGGGAGGCACAAGTTTCCTTGGGTGTGCTTTCCCCCACCGTCTGTCCGTCTCTCCCGGAGGCCCTGCAGGGATCTCTACAGGAGGAAGGCGCTGGGGTCTGCCCCCAGGGCGTTTGTGCTTCGGGTGGGGGCCGGCGACAGGGTTGGCCTGTCCTACCTCCGCTGGCTCGCTTGGGACGCCCGGGGGGCAGCGGGCAGCTGGCGGAGGATCTCCGGGATCTAGCCGCCCGGAGCACGGAGCGCCCGGGAGGTGGCGGCTGCTCCTTACAACTCCGAATCCCCGGCGGGTGTCTGCCGGGGGAGGAGCGCAGCGCCAGCCCCTGCCATTCCCAGCGGTGCCGGCCCGAGACCTGTGGCAAGGAGCCGCAGGGCACCCCTGGACGCCCTGGCTCAGGACTGCAGGGACGGGGCGGAGAGCAAGGCTGGAGTGGAAGACGCACCCCAGAGCCGTACGAGGGTGGGCAGTGTAGCTGCCACGTCAAGCCGAGTCAGACCAGGCCTTCCTGCCCAGTGTCAGGGAGCGCGAATGGACGCCCATCGCGCCCAGGTGCCCGCCGCGGCTTGGGTGTTGGTGTCCTCTTCTCCCGGGCAGCGGGAACGCCGGAAGGCGGGAGCTGGTACGACTGCCAGCCAGGGGAGGCAGCAGTTGCCCGACCCCGCCCAACCCGCGTCTCCAAGCCCAGGTGTGGTTTGGAAAAGAGGGGTTGAGTGGCGGGGGTTTCTGTGCATCTCAGGGGACGTGAAGCAGTGGCGGCAGGGAGGGGGTGTGTGCACTCTTGGCAGGACCCCCCTCTCGGCCGCAGGCCATTTTGACCACGACCCTCTAGCTCCCGCCCACCCTCACCTCCCACGGTGGCGCGTCCTCGCGGTGGGCGGAATGCCCTCCAGTTCCATTCCCGAAGCTTTCTCAGAACTGCAGCAGAAGGCTCTGCTGATTTGAATAGCAAGGACGTATCAGGGAACAAACAGGTTTCGACCCCCGAATAGGCCCTTGACAGGAGTTAAATGCCCTCGGATGCCCTCCGAAGGAGTTCGAGGATAAGGTGAAAAGGTCACGACACCTTCTGGGGATTGGCGTTCATGTATGCACCCGAGAGCAGAGCCTTATTCCTACCTGGCGCAAAGAGCTGGCAAAAGAGATTTAGAAATGTTGGCAAGGAGACTCTGGTCAAAGGTTTTGGCGGAAGACCTAGGGCGGGACGTAAGAAAGGGAGCCCTAGGCGCGCGGGCCCCTGGCGGGGACTCCGCGCTAGTGTGTCGGGACTGGGAGGAGTGACGCTCGCCCCCAGGGGTGCGGGTGGGCTCCGCGCTCACAGAGGTGCACTGGCGGCGCCGGCGCTCCCCTCTGTCTGTCTCAGGGTCAAGCTTTCCTACCCGCCTGCCGACTCCAGGGAGCCCCCGCCTCCAAGCCGGTGACCCAGCCCCCTGAGCGCCGCGAGCCCGCTCTGCAAGCGAGAGCTTCCTTTCTCGTAACAGATTTCTCTTTCTCGGCTCCCGGACCTTTGAGAGGCTCAGGGTGAGGAAATGGCACTACGAGGCTTTAAGTCCAATGCCTGGTTGGAGCAGAAGAGAAGACGGCGGGTCGGTGGGCAGCCCTGCACCCCAGCGAGCCGGCGGGAGGCGAGGCGGGGGCGCCAGCCGCACCCAGCCCCACCCCAGGGGGAGCAAGTGCCGCAGAGGGAACCCTGGTGCTGGGCTACGACCCGCGCGTCGCCGCCTCCCTGCCTGCCTCTCCGCCACGGGCTCACCCCGGCCAGTCCCAGTGCCCAGCTGTGCTTGGCGAGCTGCATCATCAGATTTGTGGCGACTCCAAGCGACCTCAGTCCAAGGCTCGGAGGAAGAGGCAGGCGCCTCTCAGAAACTGGCAGGTTGACAGAGCGGGGAAACCGGGCGGGTGCAGCGGTCAGGGCGCCCCAAAGTCACAAATACCCGCCTCCTTCCGAGTGGGAACTGGGCGGCCAGCTGGCTTCAGGAGCCGGGTTTGACCCGTCTGTCCCTCCGCGGGGTGAGCGCAGGGGCACACGCAGGAGACTTGAGCTGTGTTGTTTTTAGAAAACTGCCGCGGATCTCTCTTCCCCTTTCCCTGCCGAGTGTGCATTTCCCAGCCTGGACCCACCCGGCTAACAAATAAAGCCACCATATCAAGCCCTCAGTGAAGGACTGCCCCCACTCCGCAGCCTAGTCCCACCCGCGCCCTCCTGCGGGTCGCAGGAAGGGCTCCTCCGGGGGGTCCTCGCGCAGAAAACGCCTGTCTCTTTTCTTGCTCACCAGCTGAGCACTTTTGCCAGGCTTTCTCCAAGCAACTAACAAAATATGCACTGTGTTATCTGGGGGGAAATATCATCTTTAAGTTCTGCCTCAGATTTTTCTGGTCTTAGGTGATCTGAGGCGTTTCTAGACTCCTTAGTTTCCACACAGCCCTGGGTAATGGAGCTCTACCGCACTGATTGATAATTGCTGGCTAGTGTGTTGGTACAGACCAAATTGTCCTTGCTAACAACCTCTTTCCTCTGCTGTTGGATTCCACTAAGTGCTGAAAAGGGTCAGTTTTAGATTTCTGCAATTCTCCACAAAGGGAGACAGACCGACCTTTACAGGAGAATAAGTGATAGAGGAGAAAATTTTTCAGTGTTCCTAGGTTGATTTTATTTTAGTCTCAGGAACACATCACTCTTCCTGACATCACAAATCCCCAGATTAGATAGGACCGAGTTCCACTGAAGGGAAGATTCATGGACCACACCCCCAGAACAGAGGTCAGAGGCCCTGGCTGGGCAGAACTCAGCGCCAGGGACCCCCACGCAGGCACCGCTGCACGAATAGGGCACATTGGCTTCCGCCTCCAGAGCAGGGCTTGAACCACCGCCCGTCCTTAAGAATAGACTGGGCGGTGAATGTTTGGTTCCTTTCATCAACCTCTTATTAATTTGTCAAAAAGATGAGATCCATTGCTCCCAAAAGGCCATTTGAACCACTAACTTCCTCAAAATATTTCAGGTTGATGCACTATGGAGATCCAGGTTGGTATTTCAAAACTGTATCAAGTCTAGTCAAGTTTTTTAAAGCACCAAACCCACATATATCAGAAAAGCACATATTTTTAGTAGGAGCTAACCTACATTTGAAATGTAAAAATGGAACAAGTGAAACTGGGAAAAAATTTTAAAATGGTATTTAAATTAATTTACTATTATTTAAAATAATTTCATTAAAAATACACTTTTATCAAATAATTCGATCATTCAAGAGATGTCTTTTGGACCACATTTGTGATTATCTCCTTAATTTGGATTGGCAGAGGAGGGGAAAAAAATAAACACATGAACCTTTCTTTCTTTTTTTTTTTTTACAGCTTTATTGAAATATAATAGACAATTAGTTGCTCATATTTACATTGTACAATTCAATGAGTTTTTTCAATTATAGTTAGCATATACTAATATATTAGTTTCAGTTGTACAGCATAGTGATTAGAGATCTATATAACTCACAAAGTGATCACCCCACTAAATCTAGTACCCTCTTCCCTTTCATATTTATATTCAATGAGTTTTTTTTTTCAATTATAGTTAGCATAGAATAATATATTAATTTTATTTATACAGCATAGTGATTAGAGATCTATATAACTCACAAAGTAATTACCCCACTAAATCTAGTACTCTCTTCCCTTTCATATTTATTGCAACATTGTTAACTATTTTCCTTATGCTACTTTATATCTCCATGACTATTTTGTAACAATCCATTTATACTTTTTAATCCCTTTGTCCTTTTTCAACAACCCTCCAATCCTCTCTCATTTAGTAGCCCTCAAATTATTCTCTATAAGATTGTTTCCATTTTTGTTGCTGTTGTTTATTTTGTTCTTTAGATTCCATATATATGTGAAATCATGTGATATTTGTCTTTATCCAACTTACTTCACTCAGTGCAATACCCTCTAGATTCATCAAGGCAATATCTTTTCCCATCCCCTTTCTTTTAGTCTGTGTGTGTCTTTAAATCTGAAGAGAGCGTCTTGTAGGCAGGATATGGAGGGGTCTTGTTTTCTTATCCATTCAGCCTCCCTATCTTTTGGCTGGAGCACTCAATTCTTTTCCATTTGAAGTATTTGTTGATAGATATGTAGTTATTACCATTATTTATGTTTTTGATACATGTTTTTTCTTTTTAAAGAAGTCCCTCCAACATTTCCTGTAATGTTTAATAACATAAATAATGACCATTATTTATGTTTTTTCTTTTTAAAGAAATCCCTCCAACATTTTATACATGTTTTTTTCTTCTTAAAGAAGTCCTTCCAACATTTCCTGTAATGTTGGCTTGGTGTTGATGAATTCCTTTAGCTTTTTTTTTGTCGTTGTTGTCTGAGAAGCTCTTTATTTGTCCTTTGGCTCTAAATGATAACATTGCTGGATAAAGTATTCTTGGTTGTAGATTCTGGGGTTTCATCACTTTGAATACTTTGTGCCAAGCCCTTCTGTCCTGCAAAGTTTCTTTTGAGAAATCAGCTGCCAATCTTATGAGAGCTCTCTTGTTGGTAACTAATTGCCTTTCTCTCGCTGCTTTTAGGATTCTCTTTGTATTTAACCTTTGGCATTTTAATTATCATCATTATTTCTTCAAATAGGTTTTCATCTTCTTGTGCTCCCTCTTCTCCTTCAGATATCCCTATGACACAGATATTGTTACAT